CGAGTCACTAGGCACTTCATCCAAAGTCAAACTAAATGCCACATTCGAACGAGACTGAGAATAGCAATGTCCCTATTCTCTAAAATCAACCAGATCAACATTCATCACAACCGATCAGAAGTCATAATATGACCTCCCGAAACTATCGTAATAACATCTCTTTTTCCAAACCAGAAAAAAGAATATGCTCGCACCCTCTAAAGGAAAAAAAACCTCATCCATCATTCACTACAATAGAACATTAAAAACAAAAATTCTCTGAACCTTGGATGGGTGGAACCAGATCTAAACTATTATTTATCATTGGTTATTATTATGATATTTTATCTCTGTAAAGTATTGGATACCAACCAATCATACTCCATCAAACTAACAACCCATTTATTTATAAGTGTTGAAACTACTTATAGTTTCAACACAGGGAAATTTGAATTAAACTTAGAATACAGTTGTTCTCACTCTGGAACTAGTTCGCGTAAAGCGGTGTACACTAGATCTATTGAGACTAGGAGATATAAGAGTAAGGTTAAGATTGGTATTAGACTAAGAAGTTGCACGAATCTATCCGGCCGAAAATAAGATAGCATGACGAGCAGAGGGAAATTATCTGAAATTACTCTATGAGTACAGTAACCAATACATAACTCGTTGAAAAATTTTAAAAACTAAAACAATTCGCAACATTTTTTTCGGATTTTTTCATGAAAATTAATCAGGCCAATTTTTTTTAAAATCAAAAATCTGAAAAAAGAAACAGTCTTTTTTATGTGCAAAATAAGTATATAGCAAGCCCACATCACAGCAAAGCCTCTCCTGATTTGAAAAGACGCTAGTCGTGCAATTCCCATATATAACCCACACACTTCATACAATTAGAAATCTGAATGAAAACAATAGGTCTAATACTCTCCTATAATTGTATTTCATGCAGTTAAAAATTTGAAAGAAAACATCATGTATTGGAAAATTGCATCTAATTCTTAAACAGGGGTACAACAGCGGTTCTCATTAATGAGCTAAACAGCTCGTATGTTGGTTCCTTTGTGGCTAAATGGTCTTTTAAATTATATCTATTACTCTCCTATATATGAGAATTGTATGACAAGCTTTTTTCCAAAAATGAGAAATATATGATTATAGTTTTTTCATGGGTGGGAACAAAATGGCTACCGAACAATAAAATCCTCAATGAACTAGATTCCGAAATAGGAGCATGAATTTTTTTTGCGGTTTTCACAAAAAAAGTTTTTGTACCAAAATCCGCTGTGTAATACCCTAAATTTTTGATGCGTTCTTCATCAACAAACTGATAAAACGTTTATACTAGTTGTAGGTTAGTGTCTTTATCTGATATCTGTCGATGTTTTTAACTCAAATATCTGCGTAAATAGTAACTGACTCGGGTTGACCGTAGACCCAAAATGTAGTCATACAATTCCATGAAAGGTTATATACAAATTGTATCAAACAAACGTCATAAATTTTGCTACAGTGAGTGGTGTGATCGACTTTTATAAAAAATATATATAAAAGTTGGTGTATCGCCATAAAAAAGAAAAAAATTCTGACAAAAAGCCTACTCATAGAATATCCAAATATGAGAAGTGTTTGAATAGAATTTTTTACCGGTCAACACTTTCTTTTCAAAAAAATTTCAATTTTTTTTTCCATTACAAATTTTTCAAGCGCAAGTAGGGTGTGTATTCAATTTATTATTTTCAAAAACTAATGTTTGGATTCAAGTTGAATTAGTTTGCGGTGTACCGATAATTTTTTTCATTAATGCTCATTTTGACCATTCTTTTTGTATTGAAAAATTTTGTGAGCCTAGGGCAATGTGTGCTAAAAGAAAACTAAGAAAAAACTGTTTTTAAATTTACTTTTTTGCTACTTTCCTTATTCATTATTTTGTTTGTGTAAGGCATCTATGTTCAGTTTTTTTTCCAGTGCAATGGAAATGCAAGTTCGTTTGTAACTTGTGTTTGATTACAAACATCCTTAAAACTTGACACGAAAAATTTTTTTTTCGGTGTATGGAAAAATGCTAGCCATGAAATTTCCATAAATGGAAAATCAGTGACCATTGATTTTACAGGCCTTTATTTGTACTAGTGGATTTGGTCGTAAATTGTATGAGTAGAGATTTTCCAAAAATGAAAATATTATAGTTAGTATTTCGGTCATTGGCGAATTTTTGAATATTGAAAGTAAACATATTTATTAGGGTAAACGATGAGATTGGTCGATGCGACTTTTTGTTGGAGCCGTTAGAAGTTAAACCAGTCTATAAAAAGCGCCCAGAATTTGTTTTTACAACCTTCTGACTGCTTGCACAATAGCAAAACAATAGTAGGCTTGATATGCCCACTTGTGCCTGGAGGTCCAAAACCATAATGCATCTAGTTCTGCGTTCCATTACTGGGACGGTGGCTCCCTTCAACACCCATCCTGTCGAACGTAGGACTGTCTTCAAGTTTTGAGAAAAATGATCGGTTGTTGTAATCCACAAATTGTGCCGCCTAATTTAGTAGTTCTGGCGGTATAAAACTTGCTCTCGTGGATTTTATCATTTCTTCTGTTGTTGCCCAGATTAGTAAAGACACTGGACTTCCCGTGTCCACCATTCAATGTTTTATTTGGTTCTCGATTCGAACTTTTTTGGATTTTGGGTCTCTAAGTAGATCGATTTTTTGTATTCGTTCTTTCTCCAAATTCGTTAGTCGGTCTGTTTCCTTCATTCTCTCCTTGACGTACATCGAGATCCTTTCCCCCTCTGGCAAATATGTCTGTACTGACATAATCTCGAACTCATCGCATGACCCAAAGTCTTCCACTATCAGATTACCTTCCTCCTTTCAGAATCTTCCGTTATTTCGCTTACTTGATGTGATCTGCACATTTTCTTGAAATGATTAGGTTTTTTGCAGTTCTTGCATGTCTTTCCCAAAGCCGGACAGGATTTCAGGTGTCCAGATTCAAATGTCTGTCCACGTCTATTGCAGGGTTTTGTTTGTCCATTTGAGGTTATAGATGTACTGCTGCTCTTTTGCTTTCTGTTATTTTCCCGTTTGAAACGATGTTTTCTGCTCCCTCCATTTGAGTAGTAGCAGTATCACATCATTGCTAGAGTTTCATGTTTTTTACTGATTTCATCAGCAAAAAACTCCACGTATATAATCGACGATTTGAACCATGAAACTGGATTTTTAGGGGTTTATAATATTTTTTGTGAACACTTAAAAATCCACTAAAATCAATCATAATCGATAATAATCCTCTTTTGATTTTAATAGAATCGATTACTTTTTCAAATGTGAATTGTTCAATCTATTTTTTGCGGCGTTCTCCAGCGTACAACCCTGTGTACCGCCCCATTCCCAACTTTCGCCATATGCCCCTACTTTTACGCCCGCCACCTCTTCCAACTCCCCCCCCCCCCACCCACACGCACACACATACATACCCACACACACACACACACACACACACACACACACACACACGTACTTTTCTCCCCCACACCTCTCCCTCACCCCATTTCACGTTTACACTCTCATCAAGCTTACCACTCTCAGGACTTTACTCCCCTCCCCCAATAGGGGGGAGTAGTAACGTGGGGATATCACAAAGTTTAGTCATTACGTTCAGGAACCAACCCCTTAGCTAAAAAAATTAAGATGAGGAATAATGAGGTAAGTAAATTTAATAAGGGAGGGTGCAACAAAAAGTCGATAAAAAACAAATTTTGAGAAAATAAAACAAGTTTAAAAAAACTTGTTAAGGAAAAATATCAAAAACAAAAACAGTTAACAATTATATCATCCAAAGTAAGTCTCGTTTTTGCTATTCTCTAATAAAACTTGTGTTGAGCCAAAAACAACGGTCACTTTATAAAAACGCTACACTCTGTTGTAGAAAAATTAAAAAAAATTCATAATCGCATAATCCTTGATAATCGATTGAAATTGATTTTTAATTTGAACAAAAGAGTGTATAATCCATTTTTAAACGCTTATAATCGATTATTTGGCTGCTTTTCCTACCCTTGCCCTACTTGCAAAGTTTTACAAAAACAAGTTCTGTTCACATTGTTCGATTCTTATGAAAAGTGACATACGGACTAATTAGACCATGACACACAAATTACCTTGCAAAACCACTCCTTACACCATAAAACTGATGCTCGTGTGAGGTGGGGAGGGGGGGGGGGGAGGGGAGGGGGGGGGGGAGTAAATGTTCGTATTATTTGTTTGGAAGTCATGAAAGCCCAATATAATCGATTTTTATCCATGAAGCTCTAGTGCGGGTCATATAAATTTTGACTTGTTATGGCAAAACATGTTTTGTCGATTAATTAGCAATTGAATCGGAAAAAGCCCTATCAATTTCGTAGGTGCCACTAAAAAAAACTTTTTTGTAAAAAATATACATAGTTGAAGTGCAGTTTTTTGCCGTTGGTGAGATGATGAGATGAGTGGGATTTGATAGATAAACATAATTAGAAACAGTAGCGGATTTAGGGGGGGGGGGGGGTACGGGGTTTTTCGACCCCCTGCCGACCCAAAGGGTCCACCTTTGAATTATTTTGAGATATATTTTTTTGTCTGACTGACCTTAAAATTTTTATTTTTCTAAAGGCGCCTTCGGCGCCAATCTATACTAATTTTGAGGGGGGAGCGTGCCGAAAAAACACGTTTTTTTAGCCTTTTTGCATAAATTTGCATTTTTTGTTAAATTAGGGTCTTTATAGTGGTTTGGGAAGGCGGTTTATAGTGGTTCTTTTGAAAATCCGCCCCACTCCCCTCCAGAAATTCCTAGATCCGCGCCTGATTAAAACGGTAACAGAGTGCTGAAGTGTATTTTGGCCTTGAAAAGTAAAATAAAATGTTCTTTTTTCAAGGTCAATACACTTTTAAGCACTACGCAAACTTTTCAGTTATATTTATTTAATAAACCACAACCATCTCACCATCACACTTTTGTTTGATTTCAATAGTTTTGTTGGTTTGCAAACACAAACTTCAGTTTAATTATTATTTTATTACACTGCTGTGAAATTTAATCTATCGGTTATTTCCGTTTGGCAACCAAACACGATTATGGCAATCGTTACTTTTCCCAGAGTCTTTGCAATAATTGTTTCATTGTGTAAGTCTTTTCATTGGAAAGGTGCTGGGCAATAACTACATGTATATTTAAAAAGTAGCTAGCCGGTTTTTAGTGAACTTTTAAGTTCTCATATGCCACATGTAAGGAAAATTACAAACCTTAAAAAGTTCTAACATCAAATTAGCAACTATTCAACGTTTTTTAAGATAAATTTTGAATTCTTTTGTCTAATTATCAAAGAAAAATTTTTAATTTCTGCTGTTTTGTTCCTTGGAAAATAAATGATTTGCATTCAAAGCTAGAAAAAGTTCAAAACCTTGTTAAGATTAATGTATGTTTATTAAAAATTTTAGTTTCACTCACCCATGTAAGAAAATTACTGAGGAAGTACTATTTATCCATTAGAATAAAGTTTAATACTTCAACTTCTGTCGTTTTCCCCAAAGTTTTTTCCTCTTGTCGGGTAATGACACCGAAATTTTCAAAGAAACTGGTGACCTAATTTTTTCTTCCACTTTTTCACGGTTTTTTTTTTCAGTTTTTTTTTTGCTTTCTTAGCATACTAATGTAACATATAGGGTTTGGATTTTAAATAAAAACTAGAGTCACGGGACATAGAAGCTGCAACCTTCATTTTTCAAGCATTGAAATGAACGATTTTTTTTCACGTGCCTGTTTTTTTTATTACTAATTTAGATTCACGGTTGTAAAGTTCACATATGATTAGCCGGATGAAGAACCGTGAAAATTATTTTAAAGCGTAGTTTGGTCAATGATTAAGAGGGCGACAGAAAATTGTTCTTGGTTCCAAAAATTCTCCGTAAACAGCACAAGCGGTTTGAAACTTTGGACCTAAACGCATTCGCTAAGGATTTCAGCTAGGCCGTCATGTGGTTTTTTGTTTCAGATAAAAAAATGACTAAAATTTTGGCAGGTTCTTCAACACAAATTGACTGAAAGATCCGCAATTTATAGTGTAAAATGCACAAAATTGGAGCTACTTTTTGTTTCGTAGTTGAGTAGTTTTTGTAATCTTTTTTATCTGAAGAAAAATTAGAATGAGGGCATAGCTGAGATCTTTAGCTTTCCATGAATAATTTTAGGCCCAAAGTTTTGAACAATTTAGGCTGTTTATCGGTGTTTTTACCACATTTCTCTGACGAACTTCATTTAAATGAAAAAACTACCACTTAAATCATATTTTTTTACGGTTTTTATCAAGTTACTGACTAACATGAGTTTCATCAATCATAAGTCAAATTTCAAATTTTCGACCGTGAACTCTTTTTAATGATGTAGAGAAAACGGTACAATCGTGAAACAAAATGTGCTTTTCAACGCGTGAAAACTAAAACTATGAAAAACATGAAAGCCAAAACATGAAAGCCAAAACTAAAAACATGGAAGCCAGCTATTTTTTCCCGTGACTGTTTATTAAATGCCCTGAGGGTTTCTTGCCGATAACAGCCAGGCTTTTTCGGAAACATTTATGTCTCTAGACTAGTAAAAGAGTACCAGAGTCGACCCAATTGAGTTTAAGTCAGGTGGGCTTTCTCATAGAATAATTTCGGAAAAGGTGCACCGTCTGTTCGTCGCGCTATCTTATTTTCGGCCGGATAGGTTCGTGCAACTTCTCAGTCTAATACCAGTCCTAATCTTACCCATCTAGTGTGTACTGGTATTATCAATAGGCGAAGAGTCAAGAATTTTTCTTAGGAAGCGCACATGTTAAACTAAGTTAAACTTATTCTGTTCTGGATGAAAAAAAAACCTTCAGCCTTACAAATTAATTCAAGTTTTAGTAGTGGATCAAGATTAATTAGTTCTAATTATTTTACCGAGATTGCTATCAAGCGCACGTTACTTTAGCTTTAGTACCGAGAGTGTTGACAGGTTGTTGATTCCAGTTCGAGTCGCAATATCTTAGGATAAACTTGAATAAATAGAATAAAGCCGTATCACATTCTGAAAAAGGAAACAGGAAAAAACTTTAAATGAAATCGAAAACTTTTGATACTTGATATCAGTTTATTTTTTTGTTTTTTGGAGTCATTTTTGGTTTCACTACTGGTTCGCGTGGTTTCCCAGCACTAATGTTCCTTCTGGTTACTGTTTGCTCTTCGTCAGATGATGGAAAACTGCCAGATGAAATTTACAACGCTCTTGAAGCGGTATACAGCTCTTCTGTCTGCGGTATATTTGGAGTTCTCGTGGCTCTCGTCCCTGCCTCCTAGACTGCGTTGATTGCATGACGTAGTGGGCTACTGTAGAATCTGGCTTGTCTTTTCATTCTGCCTGAGCTTCTCGATGAGTTTTATACGTTAGACTTAGTTTCTTATGTCTCTTGTGGTAGATTCCGCGGTGCTGGTACTTCTCCATGAGGTTCAGCTTGACTCTCCTTGGCCGGTGATGTTTCTGGTTAACGCTCTCGTTTGTTCACTTCAGTACTCAATTTCATTTGTGGTGATTCTGGTAGTTTTTGTGTCTCGGTTTGGATGGATATCAGTTGGTGTGGTTCTGTGTGTTTGTGTGCCTCAGTTTGAATGGAAATTGGCTGTTTCGGCCTTGCTGGTACGATCTCTAGTTGCTTTTCTAAAGGTAAAGAAACTTGTCTTACTGGCGAATCTGGCAATGCTCCGGAAATTTCGGATGATATCGTGAGGTTCACTATCTTCCTCCTTGGAACCGTAGTAGATGCTTGAGCTGGTTCCAGATTCTCTCCCCCAGTTGACCTTGTCTAGCTAGAGCTGGCTGCTATGTTCGCTTGTCTCTTCTCTTGCGTTGCACTAGGGTATAGGAGTTGATCGTCCAATGAATTGGACTCCGAAGTTTCCACCGTCCACGGTAGAATCCTCACTGGTTTCAAGATCGTCCTTTGTGGTCCCTTCGGCGTGGACGTTGAAGTGCCCGCTTTTTTTGACGCTGAATCTAAATTCATGTTTTTAAGAGACATGAATTTTGGTTTGATAGAAAAATGGTTTTTCCTGATGACTTGCCCCTTCTCGGTATTAATTGTGTTTTCTGTGATCATTACAGTTTTATCCTTGAATACTTTGAAAAATAGTTTTCTCGATTTACTGAGCAACATTTTTCGATTCACTACATCCTTGTTTGGATTAAGAATAACATCATATTTGAAAAAAATTGACGGTTTAAGGCGGTTTGTCTGTTTCTCCCCTTTAACTCCGAACCTCAGCGTGCCTTGGTGTAGATCGTTCCGCAATGTAAAAGCAAAAAATGGATTCCTGTCCGTAAAGTTTCTAATAAATTTTGCTCCTCTCCCATGCTTCAACTGTTTCCTTATCTGTCTCCAGTCGCTGGCTGCCTTAGCCAGAGTTTCCAGCGTCCTCAGTCCTTGAGGCTACGGTGATCGTCGTTTGAATTTTGGTGATACGTCTCTGCTTGTTTCTCCACGGTGAATTACTTTGATTCTTGTTCGCGAGTACGACAATTTTCTCATCTGTTCAGGTGTCATCATTTAATTTTTCAAATTTTACAATCTGAATTGTCCAAAAAATTGTCTCTTAAAAATGCAAAACATATATTTGGCTTCCGTCCAAATTGAAGTTCGAATGGTAATTTTTTCCGAAAAGGATGTTTGACCGTCCGAATGTCTTCAATGATATGTTCAAACGCGGATTGAATATCCGTGAAATTGGGGTCCAGTTGCATGGTTCCAAATTTCCTCTCAATTGTTTGGATAGATCTTTCAACTAATCCTCAACCGCGGTGGTCTCCGACGTCTCTGTTTTATTTCATTTTCCTTTCAATTTTCCTTTCAGTGTATTTTTGAAACCTGAATTTCGGTCCGTACGTATTGACTTTGGTGTTCTGCGTTTTTGGATATATACCTCTAAAATTTAAATGTTTTTCGTTACCCCGAAATGGTGAAATAGTTTTGGTGATTAATGCGGATGGATTTTTGAATAACCTTCTATCGCCACAAGAATATTTAACACTTCCCCTAATTGTCTAAAACCTCGTGCTACCTGATGCACTCAGCGCTGCTTCTACTCTGCTCACGAATATCAACACTAAAATCGATGACCTGTGCTTTCTATACTGCTTCATTGCAGCATATCACAACGTTAATGAGTCGACCCTCTACCCCACATCTAGACGGTGGATGGGGAATACGAAATGCAAACGGGTCTGATGAATATGAACAGTTTTGAAAAGCAGAACAATTGTCAAACCAACGTCTTTCGGTAAGCAAATTCTACTGGCCTTTTGAAAATCTCAATACCCCTCGTTAAAAATCTTCACCCACTCAAACCCGCTTTAAATACCATTCCAAATCTATTTTAAAAATTTTTTTTTGCTCAGGTTCAACGAAGGCAAACTGTTGCCCATAAGAATATCGAGAAGATTCACTACAAGCCTGACTGTGGACTTGTTGCTGCTGACAGTTGGATCAAAGTATCACTATGTGTTGTTAAGTGATCTCCAGAAACTGGTCGAGTACGTGCGGCACAAAGTGCACCGATTCCAATCTGAGGTTTACCGCAAATGTTTCTACACGTGTGCTTCTTTCGAAATTCTGAGAAGACATCAAGAACTGTGCTATCAAGACGAAATCCATTTGCAACTCCTCGTTCGGCGCGGACAGTACTGGTAGTAGATTAGATGAGTTAATTGGTTCTGATGTTTTGATATTCTTACCATAAAGTGAGCATTGTCTACAGTCCTGACAGAGTTAGATAATCTCGCGGTGCATTTGTGGTCTCCACATCTAGACTATCATTGCTTGTTGTCGTGGATGCGTTCTACTTAGTCGTTCTACTTAGTCTACTTAGTCAAAAATGAAAACAGAAATGGAATCGCCTGTCTGTCTATTAAAAAACAGTCATTAATGACTGCGGAATCTTCCTAGAATCTTGCGATGTAGTTTCCTAGCCGCATATATCCCTCTGTATCTCTAGCCAAAATGCATTTTCTCGACGGTCCCAGTTGAGAATCCTCCGTCGTTACTCGGACAGCAGGTCTGTTGACAATCCTGTTTTATGAGACTTTTTGTCACCTGAAACAATCGGTGTAACCTTTTTGGCCATTCTGTTCACCCTATTTACCATAGTTTTTGCCCTTGACGCCTTCGTAAACCGCTTTGGTCGGAAATTCGCCAAAATTTTGTCGTAGTTCTGTCTTAGATTTGTTACTGAGGTTTGTTTCGTTTTCTTTTGCCCGATCTGCTTGCTTCCTCCATCTGATCGCCTTCGTTTTGGCATTTTTCGATCCTCATCCGACATGGGTTGTTTGCCTGCCCGGACATTTTATGAGGGCAAGTTAACTTCACAATTTCATTTCCGAAAAATTTTGTTATTTAATAATTTGACTAAGGGAATTTTTGACAATTTCAGGTTGAGTGAAGATCGTTGACGATGATAATTAGCAAAGTTCTATTTAATCTGATTCTATTCTATTTAATACAAATGCTGCTCCTCGATTGGTTGGCTTAGGATATGACGACCCCTTGAGGCTTTATTTTAAATGAAGTGAGTTGACGTTCTCTTATTTTGCTTATTTCTGATTGGCTAATATCCCACTCGTATTTTCTGCCGCCTCCGAATGAAATTACGCAAAATCCGCGGCTCGATTCTGATTGGTCGAGATGACGTTGAAAATACTATCCGTCGCGGAATACAAATTTGCATATTCCGCGGTTTGGATCATGCTTCCAACACATGTGTCGACGCCCTATCGAATTAAACAAGATAAAGTTGAAATTCTTTGGACTGGCCAGATTAAATACATTCAATTGAGCTAAGTGCGGTGTAAATCTAACTAATCTGGGTGTAATATTAGAATTTGTGAGATAAAAAGACTGTTATGTTTAAACAATGATCCGGAATGTAATCTGAATGGTCGAGTATTTTGCGTGATTTATTCTGGAGAGAATTAATTACATGCGTTGTCAAATTTTTGAATGGATTGTTTGTCATAAAGGGACGAGGGTGAAGCTGGAAATTTTGGATTTCTCGAGAGATAATCTCCTATACCTATGTTTACTCCATAGATGTGCGAGATTGAGACTTGGAATGGCAAAAAAACGGTCTGCCCAACTTGTTAGGCGTGACTGCTACGTACAGTTACCCCTGTTTTTCTTGAGTGCTTTAACTAGGGCTTTCTGATCTGTTAGTAGATAGAAGTGCTTCCTCAATAAATAGCTCTTAATGTATTCACAGAACCAAAGAACTGCTAATAATTCCAGTTCATTAATTGAAAATTTCTGTTCCGTTTGATTTAAAAAGCTAGATGTTAACGCCATTGGGGCCCAATTTACTGATTCAATCTAGCGCGGCCCCCAATCCTTTATGGGTTGCGTCACTTTTGATTCTCAACTTTTTTGATGAATCGCGATAGTACATTTTTGTGCCATCACCAATTGAGCTGAATATTTCTTTTAATGCAACTTCTTGTGTTTCTGTCCAGACAATTGATTATTTATTACTGACTTTGAATGAAGGTCTCAAGGGTTCAGTTCTCTATCGCTGATTTGGAATGATTCTTGACAGTTGATTTAAGATTCTCATGAACGATCTGAGTTGTCTCAGAGTTTTTGGCGGCGTTGGGTTCAATACTGCTTCGATTTTTGAATCTACTACTGGTGTTACAAACTGGTCTGTTGTACAGTTGTCTAGTTTGAATATGTGTCCCTCTTTGATCAGCTTCTGAGTCTCTGCCCCACTTTCGGTTGAATGAAAATTGGGACTCTGCGGACCTTCCTTTTCCTGAATTGGTAATAGTGGTCATTTAAAAAGTGTGAATACTTTGTGGTTTTTAGATCTTTCGAGCCGATTATTAATACGTCGTTATATTTTGCCATAAAATTCTTCTTCCAAAATTGCGATTCTTCAGATTCTTAATTTTCTTCGGCATCAATTTTTCCAACTTGAGAATACGTCGAATTTTTTTTTCGTTGTAAATGTGCCTATCTTGGGTTGTATATCCAAACCTGGTAACATCTTGTTCGATTCTCTGAAATAAGGAATTTCACAATTTCGGCTACCCAGCCGTTAGAGTGTATGGTAATTACCACTGTGCCGAATAGTTTGATTGGATGGTGGTTGTAGTCAACATACTTTGTTTTGAGTGGGTGCTTGTCTAATGGTAGTACCCTTTCGGTTTTGTCATTTTTGTCTACAAGTCTGCTGTTTGTTTGTTAATGAATGATGCCCCCACTTCCGGTGTCTACGGTGGCGCTAAATACTTTTACTCTTAAACGTTTTGTTTGGCCTGTGGCTGCCTTTATGAACTCCAAATTTTTGACTAACTCGGCACCTCGATTTTTGTCTCTTTTTCCATATTTGAATATTCAGATTCGCTGTCCAGGTCTAAGAGGTTGCAGTCCTTTACTTGGTTTGATTTTACAAATCCTATTTTGAATTTTGAGGAATTACAGCACTTTGCGAAGAGGCCTTCTTTTTCCACAGCTGTTACAATTTGTCTCCTTTGCTGCACATTTTTCCTTATGCTCCGGCGTATATTTGTTTCCGCAGAAATGCCAGGGTGTAACTGTGTTCGACGATTTATTGTCGGGGTTGGGTCCTGAATTCTGATTTCTTCTTTTGTCTTATAAAGCCCTGTTAGTCCGATTTTGCACATTGTTTTGTGGTTGATCAGACATGGTGGGTTCTTGTTTGATTCTAAACGGATTTCCAGATGTGCTCGCTGATGGGTTCTGTTTCTGTAGGGTAATGACTGTTACATAGATCTTTTTTTTTGTGATAGTTCTGATTTGAGGGTTTCATCAATGTTCGCGCCTAGTCTGATGCATAGTTCCCGTTGAGTATCCACGAATATCATTTTTGCTATGAATATATCCCTGATCACGTCTTTTTCGGCGTCTTCTGCGCATTCATATTTTTCTGCCTGTCCTGTCAGTCAGATGTAGAAAGCCTCTAAACCTTCCTTTTCGCCTTGATTTCTGCTATAAAAATGCTTTTTTTCTACGATACAGTTCTTGTCTCTTTTCAAAAGACGTTCACATGCGGCGTAGAAACCTCTGAAGCTTACTGTTTTGAGGCTGACGTGGGCATTTTGTTGCAGGGATCTTTTCTTACCCTCGTTGCCTAGTGCTAAAAGAGTCTGGGTTTGATTCGGCTTTCCGCTTCATGATAATACACTGACGGATTTATCTTTGGGCTCTTTTTTCTTCTCTCGTCATTCGCCTCTTGTACCTTCCTGATAGCGGCATTGTTTCTTGCAATTAGGCCTGCCTCAGCTTCGGCGTTTTCGCCTGACACTGGTAGTTCTGGCTTCGGTGGTGGATCATCATTCATCGGTCCCGAGGTTGAGAACAAATCATTCGGGTTACATTATCAGATAGCGAGGAAAAATTGGCCATTCCATACGTCCCATGGATACGTTGGTTCCGAGGATGGTTTTGCCCAAAATGGTTGTACTCTGTTCGTCCATCCGAATATTGGACTGCTGGCTGCGCCATGAGATATCCGTAATTTCTGCCAGCTGAACTCAAGCTAAAAATGCTAAAATAAAGTAAAGTAAATTAATGTGAGGCTTAGTTACATTGGTATAACACTTGGTTACAAGTGGATACGGATAATACAAATAGAATCAACTGTAATCTTTCAACAGAGTATAAAGCAATGAGAGAGCGCACGTTACGTTACTTTAGCTATAGCACCAAGAAAGTTGACAGGTTGTTGATTAAAGTTTGAGTCGCAATATCTTACGCTGACCTTGAATAAATAGAATAGTCCCGTATCACAATTAGAATCAACTGTAATCATTCATCAGAGGATAAAGCTATGAGAGAGCGAACGTTACTTTAGCTTTAGCACCAAGAGTGTTGACAGGTTGTTGATTAAAGTTTGAGTCGCAATATCTTAGGCTGACCTTTGAATAAATAGAATAGTCCCGTATCACAATTCTAAGAGTTTTACAGAGATACTTATCAAAAATATAAAAGAATATATCTAATACTTGTTGTAAACTGGTTCCACAATATTTGATTTTTGTGGCGAATTGAGTTGGGGTGAGAAATTTGAGAGAGGCGAGACGAAGCATCAATTGAGAAAGGGTTAAAATCTGTGATTTCCATCTGAATGAGACGACCACTAATTCGATTGCTACGATTTCATAAAAGGCCACTATGAATATCTGGATTCAAATAAAGCGGCCCATAATTTGGTATTTTAGTCATTACATTATCAGATTCTGAAAACGCCAGAAGAGCAAGAGCGCTCGGCGGCTTATAACACGGATCTTGGGTTTTTAAATATTTTGTTTCGTATTGGAAAAATGTGAGAAACGGTTTTTATTGCGAATTTGGCTCACTTTTTCACAACTAATTTTGATGTTGCAGATGATTAGTTTTTCACCCATCCAACCCAAATGTACGGAAAAAATTCTGAGCAAAAAATATGAACAACTATTTTTTGAGCAAAAAAGTTGGAAAGGCAACTGTTTTATATTGGGATGTGTTCACTAAACCGAGTTATCATTAAATTACCAGATCAATAAACGAATTACATACTAACTATTTCAGTTGTCTTTTCATAGATTTCTAGAATTGATACTTCGTGATGAATATTAATAATTTTAAATTTTCTAGGACTACGAAAAAGGTCATTTTGTTTCATTTTTTGTTCAAGTTTTTGTTTCATGAAAGAATTCCGCATTTTTGTGCGAATCAGATTTTACAAATCAGATTTCAGTTACCGTGACTTTAAAATTGAATCATTGTGGATGTTTGAATTTTTATGAATGAAATTGAATGATAGTGACTAAACAATTCAATAGTTTTGGAATTTTGTTTCACTGATCTGGTGTGCGAGTTTTTGGTTTGTTGACACATCGATTCACTGACCTACCACCTTTGTGTTTCCAGTGTGTTCTTGTGAAGTGGCTCTGGGCTCGAACAGTAACATGATGGTACAGAGAGACGAGAGGTTAAACTTCATCCTCCCTTCATTTTTTGAAGAGCTCGGCAGAATGTGCAACCCTTTCAGGTAAATAATAATTTTATGTGCATTTAATTTCAACCAATGATCAGATTCCAGCCTTTTGTTTTTTGTTTTGCTGATTTGACATTTTGTCCAGTTTAGGCGAAGTAAGTAAAAAACACCATTTACAGGCTACGCACCCAAATCGCCAACTCGTGGAATCATTTGAAGATTTAGACCTTAGAAAAAAAACATGGTATGGTCCTCTGCTTTATGAAACATCAGAAAACATGCCGTTGCTAGCCAAATAATGTTTTCCCAAACGATGCAGTTTTAATGTTGTAAACATACGTTAATAACTCTGTAACTATGTATCGTCAGGAAAACATTAACTATTGTTCCCGGGTCGAGGTCCACCATTAATTTTTTTGACTTTGTCGGTCGCGGATATGTTAATTCGGCGACTGAAAATCCATAGCCTGCACAGATTTTTTATTAAGTCGCGGTCAAACTCTGGAAATACCGTATCTCGGTCGCAATGGTTATAAACTTAGTCGCGGCGGTCGAAAAATTTGTCGCGGCGGTCGAAAAATTTGTCGCGGCGGTTGAAAAATTAGTCGCGGCGGTCAAGAAATTAGTCGCAGCGGTCAAAAATTTAGTCGCGGTATGGTCGAAAAATTAGTCGCTTCGATCAAAAAATTAGTCGCGTCGGTTGGAAATTTAGTCAGGTTTTCAAAAAATTAATTGAGGTGGTCAAAAATTAATCGCGGCATTCTTTAAATTATTCACGTCATGGTAAAAACATTATTATAATTGTTAGTGTTTTTGTGTCCAAAAATTATGTGAGTTGAAAGTGTTGTGATTTAGTATTTTAGTATGTTATAACCTTGACCTCTATTATCTAATTAAGTACCAGTCAATGTTCACTCTACGAAGTCCAGTGGACTTCGGATCACTAGTTGCTCTTTTTAGACTACAGTCAGTTTTAATTCAAACATTACTTTTTACTCTCTTTTAATATTAATTAGATACAATAGTTACGAGTGGTAAACATACACTTTTATTATGGCGCAGTCAACAACTGATTCGAATCTGCGGGGAATATCCGCCTTTTGGCCGAACCACACGGTAGAACCTCCCACCCAATGGAACAACTGGATAGACCAATTTCATTTGGCTATCATTGCGAAGGAAAATTTAGACATAGACAACCTCAAAGAAACAGTGGAAGGGGAGACGACGTTACCGATCCTAGAAGGCGCCCAGGAGTCAGAAACTGACCAACAGAGGACAGGGAGGCCAGGAACAAAGAAGTAATGCGAGTCTACGAACAAGCTGAAGAGAAAAGACTAGCAGAAGAAAAACGGAAATTCGGAGGAATGAGGAGATATGAAGCTGACAAAACAGTAAGGTCAATCCTATACTTGGCCTTAGGAGCGGAAGGCAAAAGAGTTTTCGCCCAGAAACATCCAAGGGTAAAAGACCTAGGAATCTCATTCAAGGAATTGTACGAACTGCTAGAATCGTCTTTTATCAAACCAACCAACATAACATTTGAACGATATAAATTATTGAGCAGTAAACAAAAGGATAGAGAATCCTATGAACAATTTTGGGGCGCGTTATCAGATTTAGCAAGATCATGTGAAATTGGAATTAATGCAGAACAGGAGTGGTAAAATTGCGACTTACAACGTAGACTACTTTCGGAAGCTCTCAATCCATTGGATGCACTGAACCAAGCAATCATCGACGAAAAAGGCTACTCTAACCAATTTGACTAGATCTTTTAACACGACAGGAAGTAGCGGGAGAGTGTATAAAAACTTCAACAATGTAAAAAAGGAACCAAGCTTGAACATAGAAAGATCAAATACTTGTATGAAATGCGGGAATGCGTTTACCAAGGGTCATCTGAATGTGTGTCCGGCGAAAGAAATCGTGTGTAATATTTGTAAATATAAAGGACACTTCGGAAGACTTTGTAAATCGAAAGGAAGAAAACCCGCTGTAAATATTGTAGATGAAGCTGTAAATAGTCAGAATTGTTCATATTCCCCAGAAGACTTTCAGGCAAGAAGCAAAGAGAATTTTTGCAGAGTGATTAATGCCTGGACCGAAGAGGGGATAAGCGATAACGAAGATTATTCCGTTCTTAACATCAGAACAATCTACGATACCAATGGCTTGGAAACCAAGAAATTAGTCAACATCGGATTGGGAGACGATGCTATAGTCAATTTGAACGTTCCAGTGGATTCGGCAAGCCCAGTGAGCTTAATGAAGCAAAACGTACTACACGAATTGAAGTTGAGAAATCCACAATTGGTGATACACCCAGTAGAGAAGAAAATTAGGGAACTATACTGCGGATTCACAAACGACACAATCAACTTCATCGGGAAAGTGGTAGTGAGATTACAATCCAATGGATGGATCGCGGACAAAACCCCATTTTTTATCACTTCTGGACATGAGAGGAACAACCTGGGAAACGACAATCTTCCAAGAATTGGAATCGAGATAGCTCAACGACAGCCTCTACTACCCGTCAACAACATAACACGCCCAGAGTTGTGTAAGTTAAATAATTTTTCAGACACCATCCTTAATCTGTATCATAAGTACAAAGGATTATTTAACAGAGTGGGAAAAATACCATTGGACAGAAAAGTTACTCATTTCCACTCCCCATTCAAACCTATAACGTAAAAACGGAACTAAATAGAATGGAAAAAGAGGGGCATATCGTGAAGTTAAACAAATGCGATGAAGATTGTTTTATAAGTCCAATAGTGATTACAAGAAAAAAAAAAGACGGTATCATCAAGTTGGCATTAGATTCGAAACTATTAAATAACCAGATATTCAAGAACAAGTATCAAATGCCAAATGTACATGAACTGATCGATAATATTGCGCTCCAACTGTCAAGCAAAGAGTCAGGGGAAGTTTGGTTTAGTAGTCTAGTTCTAAAGAATGCGTACAGCCAACTAAAATTATGCACAGACACCAGCAAACAGTGTAATTTTAGTATTGTAGGGGGCGAAACCACTGGGACCTATAGGTTTTTAACTGGATTTTACGGATTGGGCGATATGCCAAAAGAATTCCAGAGGGTTATGGATTCTTTATTGAAAAACATTCTTTTTACCAATTGATGTATCGACGACATTTTAATAGCTTCGAAAGGTTCATTAAATGAACACAAAGCGATATTAACAAACATTTTAAACATTTTGGACAACAAGAATATGGCGGTAAAATGGGAGAAATGTGCATTTTTCCAAAAACAAATAGAGTGACTAGGTTTCAAGATATCAAATTCGGGCGTGAAACCATTGGTGGGAAAATCAAATTCGATTAAAAACCTACCAAGTCCCAAAAACATATCTGAACTTTCTTTGGGTCGCTCTTTGGGTCGATCTTTCTTTGGGTCGATCAATCAGTATATGAAATTTGTCCCGAATTTGTCTTCGCTAAGTTCTCCCCTACGACCACTTCTCGTAAAGAAATCAGTTTACCAATGGAATGACGAACATACAAAAGCGTTTGAAGAACTTAAACAACAGATAGTGAACATAACAGAGAATAATCATTTCGACATAAAAAGGATGTCAAGACTAAAGACAGACGCTTCTCATAGCGGTTTGGGAGCTACCCTAGAACAATGGGATGGGGAGAATTGGGTAACAATAACAATCGCCTCCCGATTTTTAAACAACCACGAAAGTAAATATTCGACAAACGAACTTGAATTGTTGGGAGTAGTCTGGGCGACAGAACATTTTAAAAATTACTTTTATGGTGCTGAATTCGAAATTGTAACGGATCATAAGGCATTGTTATCAGCATTAAATGCAAATCAGAGTAATAAAACTATGCACATCAGATTAACCCGTTGGGTAAACCGACTTTTACCATTTAGTTTCAAGATCAAGCACATACCGGGAAAAGAAATGGGATTTACAGATTTATTGTCGAGAGTACTTTCAGGAAAAGCACTCCCAACCTCACACCATGATAGCGAATTTGTAGTGACTACAGTACAAAAGATTGTAGAAAACCTCTCTGTAAATAGCGATTGTAAAAAGAATAATTGTAAAAAGAACGAAGTGTATAATCCAGTGGATGTAAATACGATCAGTAACTTGGATTGTAATAATCCAATGGGCGGAAAGAAAGAATTATCGCTAAGCATCCAACGGTCGTTCTTCTCGAATATTCTGAATTACCTAAACGACACTATCAGAATTTGTAATTCCAATCACTCGCGTTCAGAGTCTTGCACAAGCGGTTGCGTTCCATTAAATTTATCAAAATTTGACTTCAATTATTTTCTTTTATCAGATAAAACCTTTTTATTTTTTCTTGCCCATTCAATACTTTTAATCAATCAGTCATTAAATGCAGATCAAAAAAACAGTTACAAGAATTCATTACATTGGTTAATTCGTTAAAAATTTCACTCAGGGCAGAAAAGAATGGAGTTTTATTGAATTTTAATAACGATACAATGTCAGACTTACACAAGAAATTACCGGCCAAGTACAAGGGAGATCTCAAATTGCCTGACAACCCGTTATCGCTCACAGATCATTGCTCAAACAAGCTTATCAAACTCATGACGGACGAAGATAAAATCCTCGAGGAGGTAAAGAAGGCGGTACAGGAAGGCAGACCATTGGACAATTTTGGAGCCCACCTAAAGAACTGCCAGAGGGACATTCACGTGAAAGAATGACTGTTATTTAACGATAACAAATTGATATTACCGGCTGCATTAAGATCACCATTCCTGTCACTTCTTCACGAAACCCACCCAGGACAGTTCGGGATGAAAACCTTGGCAGAAAACATCTGGTGGCCACACCTATACAGAGAGATCTACCATCACGGAAAGAATTGCACTCAGTGTATCATGGCCGGTAAGAACCTAAAAGTGTTACTAAGGACGAACAATACTGAGAAATTACCGATTCTGACTGAACCAAACGAAGAAGTAGATTTAGACTTTGCGGGCCCATTGGACAAGAGTTGGGGTAACTCAAAATACCTGTTGTTATGCATCGACCGCTTTTCAAACTTTCCGTCTGCAAAGGTAGTGAACAATACCTCGGCTTCTTCGATTTTAACTTTCATGACAGACTACTGCCATCTTCACGGATTTCCAAAGTCCATTAGAGCCGACCATGGGTCATGTTTTACTCCGCTTGATTTTAGAAACTTCTATGAGAAGAACAACATTAAGTTAATCGGTCGGGGATCATAGATCCAACGGAGTAGTAGAAAGACTCATTTACACTGTCAAAGCTAAGCTACTGGCAATGTCGTTCAACGATCCAAAACCATCTTTAAAAACGGCAATTGATAAAATTATTTGGAATATCCGTTCGACGAAACAATCATCCATTGGATTCTCTCCTTTCGCAAAACATTTTAATAGATCTCCCAATACGGTCTGGAAATTTTTGGTCTCTCACTCGATTAGTTTAGATAAAGGGAAGTCAATTCTATTAAAGGACAGAGCACAAGACTGGGGGCTGACGACGCATTTGAAGATGGCTATCTGGAAAACAGAGCAATGGAGGAAAGAGGGTACGAGAGCGACCCTGCGGACAAAGTAGATAGAAATCTCCAGCGAGCTCCACTGTCAAACCCTTTCAGCCAAGGAGGTAACTGGTTTAGAAGAACAGCTAACAGGAGGGAAGGCGAACCGTATTTTAAACCACTTGGGGGTAAACCTCTGTCAGACACGAAGCATACGGTCACATTAGACAACGGACACGTGATCAGAAAATTTGAATTAGCTTTTTAAAAAAATCAAACCGGCAGCTCCTAGGACATTTTCGGCAAGACCGAATTCGCTAATTAATAATGATGATTTAGCAGGCAAGCGAAAACGAAACTCCCCTTCCAAGAGACGAGATTCAAATGTAGGAGGCCCTTCAACGAGTTACACACCAACGGGAGGAAATACAAAAAAAAGAGGAGAACTAACACTACGAGCACGAAAGGTTCAAATTTCGACTTTAATAGCTTAGATTATTCGTTAGAGTTAGACCTTTGGGATAAAGTCATTGATGACTACTTGGGTACGGAAGCAGAAACTGTATGTAATACACCGACTGTTAACTTACATAGTGATGTAGATCAGCCAAGAAGTACCGTACAAGGCCAAACAAACACTCAGACAACGATCACTATACCAACGGGCACAAGCGACGACCCAATTCGAGTGGACAGCTCTCCGGAGAAGACAGTGCAGACACCAAAAACTCCGATATCCTTCAAACATCGCGCAAAAAGGAACCCAGGCCCCCCTAAATTTTACGGGGATAGGCGTTTTATTGACCAAATGACGCTTGGAATGGAAACCAACAGTGCAGTAGACTCCGATGACGAACTGCTAATTACGTTCTCCAGCGCAAAGAGTCCACGATCTAATTTAATTTACTGTACGACGTCCCCTTCGGATTATCTGACACCTATTGAAGAGTTCCCACGCCACACGACACTGGTTGCGGAAACCACACAAGGTCCCTTTTCAACACCCTCCTCTCAAGCAACAAAGGCCGCATGGGTCTCTCCACCATTGGTAGAAGTTACTAGTAATACCCAGGATGATGACGGCAGTGACATATCCTCGGGAACTGACGCTGATGTAAGAAGAGAGGCCGATAACTTCCATGATAGATATAACCACATGGCCTTAAACTCTGAAAACTGTTAAACTCTGATATCAAGATATCTTTCGTATTTGCTTGAGCCTTTATCCATTGGATAACCCAAATTTTTTTTTTTACTATTATCTAGTTACCGATTTAGTTAGTTTGCCTTAATTGTATAAATGCTACATAACCCCAGTTGTACATATCATCTTGTACATTCAGTGTTGATATCTGTGTAAACCTGTAAGTAGCCTGTATATATTACCATATAATCACCTCCATTGTAATTTGTACTCTCTGTAAATAACCATTGGTGCTAATCGTGGTTACTTTTTGTTTCAACTTTGGCCCTGGTGGAGCGAGGGGAGATGGAGTATATGTGTGATATTGGCTACATCGACGAGCGGGCAGATATTATTTTTTTGTGCAGTGGGGAATGTTGTGATTTAGTATTTTAGTATGTTATAACCTTGACCTCTATTATCTAATTAAGTACCAGTCAATGTTCACTCTACGAAGTCCAGTGGACTTCGGATCACTAGTTGCTCTTTTTAGACTACAGTCAGTTTTAATTCAAACTTTACTTTTTATTCTCTTTTAATATTAGTTAGATACAATAGTTACCAGTGGTAAACATATACTTTTATTACAAAGATCGCCACTTTGGCCAATTTGGGACAATTAACGCGCGATGTTTTTCGCACTATTAACGTGTAAGCGGAGATTTAATCCGTCTTAGAAATCGTTCCAAATTGGTTAAAGGAAGCTTGTTTTCCCTAATTGATTTGTTACTAGGAGCAAAATCTATCACTTTGTGCTTTATATGGCGTGTGGGGATGGTTTTCATAAAAAATCTAAAACAAAAAAAATAATTTCATTTCATTTTAAAAGATTTAATTTTTTCATCTGATAACTGCTCCATAGACCTTAAAAACAGTCGGAACATTCAGGTCTTCTCTTTGATACGAGTAGTCTTGTTGTTCTCCTGCTCCACACGATATGCAAAAATCAAAATTTGATTTTTTGCCTGTGAAATTGAATTTTAAATTATGTTTTAGGCCACTTTCCTTCATAGAACACGGTAATTAAGAAAAATCATGAACTACAAAGTTCATGCATCAAAACCACTGCAAATAAGTATACACAAGCAGGTGTGGATTTTCTCGGGTGGGCGGTTTCTTTTCCGCGATCTTTATCTTCCGCGACTTTTATTTGTTTGAGTCGACCAAATTAATTTTTTGAGTTCTACCAAATTAGTTTAAAGACCTTATTTTGACCAAACTTTCTGCACCGCAAAAAGGCGTTTTTAGGCACTTGGAAAATTTTGACCAACAATTCGCGTTTTTTTTTGGCGCGCGCTCCTTCTCAAAATTAGTATATTTTGGCGCCAAAGACACCGTTAGAAAAATCAAATTTAGGGTCAGACAGACAAAAAATGGATATCTCAAAATAGTACAAAGGCTCGGCAGGAGGTTGAATCCCTGAGGAGGGCGAAGTGTCCGCGCCCGCCCCTTCCCCCTAAATCCGCTGGTGTACTCGAGCATACAAGCAGCCTTTTTCTTCAATTCAACATTGTTATATTAAATTTGACTAAAAAGTTTTTTATTCTGGACAGATGAATGGGACTTTTGATTGTAATTTTTTTAAAATCGGGAATCTATTGTATTAAAAAAAAACATTTTTTTTGCCTCAATTCTGATTGGATTGATTTAGTTTGCCGCTTGCGCTTCATTGGGACGAAATGTATTGCACGTTAATCGTCTCAAATTTGCCGATTTAGCTGTTTCAGAACCCCCCATGATTTTACAAACGTTCACAGGTAAAATCTACTTTTAACTTTAGCTCAGGACGTCAATAGCTTTCAGACTTATTGAAAATTCTGTCAAAACTAGCCGGTTAAAAAATCGAATGTTATCAGATTAAAAACTATACGGAAAAGAATTAATGTTTCGCTTTTGTCAAAAACTGGTAGGATAAACTTTTCTGAAGTTAACCAGTTTGATTACTGTAGTGAAAATATGTTAGTGGAGATTATTTTTGAGAAGTAACCGAAAGTAAGCCATAGAATTTTTTGTATTTGTTTCAGTGCTTTTTTCCTCCTCAAGCTCTCTACCCCAAATCGCATAAGCATCAAATTTATAACGTAACGAGGGGTCCTACAAGGTTGATAAAGTTGGTCAAAATGTATTTGTCAAAGCTTAATTAGTCCGCATGCCAAATTTTGTAACAGAAAAAAGTGAACAGAAAATTTAATTTTTAAGTGTCGAAGGGTGGGGGAAAGAGCCTAATTCATTAAACAATTAAGTAAAAGTCAGCAAAGAGAGTGGAGTGTAGAGTTCCTACTTATTGATGAAAAATTTGTTCGGCAAGATTGTTTTCGATTTGTTTCAGTCGTTTTTTCTGTCTCGCTGGCTATGTCACTGCAACTAACTCGACGAGTAGACTACCTGAAATCGGCGATAAGCTCAGATTCCGCGAACTGATCCAAAACTCTTTCCTCGACGTGAATTGGTTCTCATTCCGCGCAGAGGACACCGAAAATTGTGAGTATTTCAACAAATAAAAAAAGCAAAATCTGATTATAGAGTAGCGATGCGGAAGAGTATATATTCTACGTCTAACAGCCGAATGGTTACAGGTTCGAGGCCCACCATGATCTGTGCTCGTTGCTTGACGGTGATTCAACTTTTTCCTGCATAGAAAACATAAACAATTAGCAGTTGATTCTCAACAACAGTCACAGAAAACAGTGAAAAGTTGAACCGGTTTTATTTTTTTCCATTTGTCTTTTTCCTAAAAACTTTAAGATTGTGGCTACTGACGAGTTTTTTTTAACGAAAATGGTTCAATTTTTGTCCGCGGAATCATGACGTACATTAACCTTGCCCGTTCTCTTCTGCTCTTTTGTAAAAAAAATAATAAAACCAGCCGAAGTATAAACCAACCGAAAATGCACGGCGGGGGGGGGGGGGTGTTCAACATTACCAACGTCTTGCATATTCGGGTCATTGCTGATTAATTTCAATTCAAAATCGAACCCTTTTTTGAACATTTAAATTACCATGATGATATTCTGTAAATCAACGAAAACGATTCTTTTTTTTCGCAATTAAAATACAGTTCTTTTTTTCGGATCCGTTAAAAAAGTTTGGAGGGTAAAATTTTAGGGATATGGGGTCTAAGATGTAGTCGATTTGTGTTGCGTCAAAGTAATAGAGCACGCTTAATTTTTCTCGAAAGCGAAGAAATTGGTACCTTTTTTTTCAGTCGGATGCTGTTCGTTTCAAGAGGATGAATATGTGAACAACGGCCAACAGTTTGGATTATCCCCTTCCGAGTTTTTCTTCAAAGTATTCGATCTGAGAGATTTAAAAGACGTCAGGAATTTGGTCTTCGTTCGGGTGAGAATTTTGATTATTTCATCTCGTAATCCAAAACAACACTGCTCGTATCATGGCGAAGCTCTGGATGTTCCGACTGCCCCTTAAGGTCTATGGAGCGGTAATCACATGAAAAAATTAACAGTAATAGCAGTTAATTAGCAGTAATTAACATGCATTTTTTTTCTTAATCTGAGATTTTTTTGTGTAATTTAACTCCGAGTTGAACTAAGGCAATCTAACTGGTCCCAGTGTTTCAATATACAGCTCAGTAAAATTAAGACTTAAGTTTTGATATTGCCAGTCCAAAATGCATATTTTGTCAAAATATGATTTTCAAATGTAACAAGACTGCTCATATCAGGGCGAGGCCCTGAATGTTCCGACTGCTTTTTACTATGGAGCAAAAAATCACATGAAAAAATTTAATGTAAAAAGAATATAAAAAAATTTAAACTTGAGATTTTTTCGTGAAAATCATCCCCCCACACGCCATTTAAAACACAAAAAGATTAAATCTCCGCTTACGCTTTCATAGCGCGAAATATATCGTGCGTTAATTGTCCCAAATTGGCCAAAATGGCACTCTTTAAACCCCCATAACATTACGAAAAATGATCACAGGTAAAATATCTTTTCAAATTTAAGCTCAAGGCAACAATACTTTTTGAATGTTATAAAAAAATTTCATCAAAAATGGCTAGTTAAAAAGTCGAAATTTGTCTGAAGAAAAAAACCCACCCCGAGCACAAAAATTCCATTACCTTCGTTACTTTCGACAATAAAATTTATCCGAACTGAAGATTTTAAAAACCGTTGAAGATTTTTAACAATCAATTCAAGTGAGCAGTTTTAACACCAATTTTTTAAAATTTTTTTAAACATGATTGTTTTTAAGGTAAAAAAAAGAGCGTAACAATTGTGCTCGGTAGAGCTTTTTTCTTAGACTAACCTAATTTTTAACAGGGCTTCGGATACTTTTTGTTAAGTTGAAAAGTTGTGATTTTAGCATGCTCTAAACTAGTTTATGCGCTATGAAGGCGCCTTTAGAAAAATTTAGAAAAATTTCGGCCCAAAATGGATTACTTAAAAAGTACCAAAGGGGGGTCGGAGGGGGGTCGAATCCCTGAGGGGAGGGAGGAGGAGGCGTCCGTAACCTCCACCCCCCCCCCCCCCCCCCCCCCAAATCCACCCCTGGCGCTATGTGATTGTTTGGATGTTGAAAATTTTTCGCGATTTTTGCATGCGTGGCGAATTTATCCGCATTGATTTGGTCTAAATTGAAACTAATTATTTTCAAAATGAAGTTGGGTCTGTCAATATCAAAAATTAGGTGCTAACGGGTTATTTGAAACAATTTTCGAAGTCAATTTTTGAAAATATTCCTGAATAAGTTCTTTAAAAAGATCAATTAATGTGAGAGTCAGTGTAATTTTTAGTCATATTGGGATACTACCATCTGCATGAACGTTATCAGTCAGCTAAGCTACGGAACTGGAGACGTACTTAAAATAATGGGGGGCAGGGGACCCAACTCTTCCTTCACTCTACCCCCCATTGGGTACTCTGGCGAGGAGGTCATCACATTTGACGGATACTTACAAGTCCAGCGGGTTCTGACTTTCGACTGGTTCCGCAGAAATGTGATTTGTGGCGAGAAACCGCATGTTTGTACAAGACAATACGATGAAATGCTTAGCAGCCGAGCCTCTCATTTATTCGATTAGAATTCATGCAACACAACCCATATCAAGACATAGTCACGAAAAATCATAGTCAATAACAAACATTATATAATAAAAATTGATCCTGATTTTAAAATGATAAAGATTGCAACAATTGAAAATTTTCGAGAACAGTTTTTTTTCTATCAACTCAATAAATGCACGCATTAGGCGCCATCTCAATAATTATTGATGCAACTTGCTCTAGCAATCAATTTATAGACCATTTAACTAGGCTAAATAAATAAAGTTCAGTCCCCTTCATCTGAATCAAAAACATTAAGTAAAACGATAAAAAAAAGATTTTTTTAAATGTTTCCTTCACATTTATTGTCATGCTAACTGTGATTGGAACTTTCGGCGACTCATTTTTTGTACAATTTTTTTCGTTATTAAACATTTTTGTTAGAACTTCTTCACATTTTTTTTCAGTTCATTTAACCATTTCAAATACTTTTATTACGCTTGCGATTAGCAAGCCTTATCAAATCGGAATGCAGACTTTTTCGGGTTAACAACTAGTTTAACAAAAATCATTGAATCACATGTGACTTTGAAGCTGTGGAGCTATGCAGCACTTATCAATCACTATGCAGTTGACATGCTCGGATTCATGAAAACTCAAATTTAACTACTTGGTGGGTTTCTTACAAAATCAGTGTCTGCTTAAGTATTGTCGGCCTTGTTTCCGCTTCCTAAGTTTTTCTCAGTTGCCTAATTAAATTTCAAATGTCCTGCTTGGCATGTTTGACTAGATTTCTTGTTTGATAAAAACAAGTATTATGAAAACGTATGGGATTGGGTTTTTTATTTTATTTTTTAAACGTTTTGAAAAATTTATCAGTTTTTTGCAAAAAATTAGTTTCCAAAACCCTTAGACCGCTTTTCGAAAAAAGAGTGGCCATAAAAAGGGGGCGTACATTGTGTCCTTTTGTGTGCCTCTGGAACCCTCTTTTTTCTTTTGGCTTTATCCATTTGTCTAGAGCCTTCGTAAAAGTCTGATTTTTTTTCTCAAAAACAAAGCCAAATCTGAAATTTTGGTTTCAATGCATAGAAAACTTCCATCTACATAAGTTTTATTACACATAAATTTTGGCCCTCAGAATAGTGAAATTTTCGGCCCGCAAAATAGTGAAATTATCTCTTCCTCAGTAATTTGACCACCTGCCGACCCAAAGATTCTCCTCGTTGGTAGTTTTTAAGAAATCAATTTTCCAAAGTTGCCCAAAAACGGTTTTTTACCTGTTTGTTATAGTGCTTTAGGAGAGCTAGGAAAATCAATTTGGTCGGTCTAAAAAAGGGTCGTCAAACTTTTGAAATCCCCACCTAGAGAAAATCTTACATCCACCACTGCTCTCCCATATCTGAAATTTTGGCTTCAACCTATAGAACGGGTTACATACGCAACTACCCTCAACCTTTAAAACAGAAAGTTATGATTCTCAGAATTTTCATATTTTTGATTTGTTGACCGTTTTTTGGACTTTTCTCGATAATTAACCTACCAAATCTGATATGATAAGTTAAATCGACACAACAGTTTGTTAGAAGCTTACCTTTACAATTTGCTACGCCCAATCCTCTAAGCTAGTCCTCAATATTTTTTTCATTTATCTATAGAAACAATATATTTTATTTATCATTTATATATTTCAATTATCATTCTCTTTTCGTTTATTTATGAAACAATTAAGGTTTTGGGCAAAGTCTAATTTTTGAAACTACGCATTTCGTCTTGCAATCGTTTGTTTGTCAGGTTTATCGTATGATTGTGTTGTACCGCAGGTGGTGCGAAGCTACCCTTTGCATCTGTGTAGAAAGCTATGATTTGAAAAATAGAACAGTTTTGCAAAATTTTTGACGCAATAAAAAAACAATTTGTACTAATAATATGAGTTAATTTTAATTTCAAAAAGAATGCTTCAAAAAATTCAGTCTGAGATAAGGAAACAGCAAACGGAACGGCAACTCAGAAAAATATTTTTCTTACGTAATAAATTTAATTTAAATCTTAGTTTCATTGCAAGTTCATCCAAAAATGAATAATTGGAGTAAAAATTTGACATTTCAAAGTAGGCAAATAGAGCACTACAAAAAATTCTAATCTGTAGTCTCTTTTTCGACAAACTGTACCTTCTTTGATCTCTTTATCTTTTTTTTCGAAATCCTTTTTCAGCCAAGTGAACCTAAAATTTTTCTAGGGCGCCCGGTATCAATAGCTACTTGCATCCAAGTTAAAGCTTTAAGTAATCAACTATTAATGATTTTACGTTGATTTTTTAGCTATTATATAAAATTATAGTTATCAAAATTAGATGTTTGAATGATTTATAATAAAATAAGTTGTAATGTTTTTTCAGAGAATATATTAACGTATAATCTATTATACTATAATATAAAGAAAAGCTGATTGACTAAAAGAGAGATGTCTGACACACTTTGGTTCATCTGAATACAAAGTTTTACCGCGAAACAAAAGTTTCAAAGAGATCGCTTAAATTTAATTGAAAGTTCTCGCGGTAGTTGAAAAGTAATTCTTCCGAATAAAGCAAGAAACTGAAAAAAAATGAGCAGATGATTCAGTGATTACAAACAAAAAACTGCATCATGAGCCACATATAACCGAGTAACGAAAAATTTGAAAGCGTTATATGCTTGAGTTGATTTTAAAACTGATAAAATATTTATCCCTATTTCACTTAAACCAACGCCTATGAAAAGCCAAATTATGAGCAATTCAGATTTAGGATCGAAAACGAGATGGAGGATTAAAATTGATGAAATTGTACTTTAATTGATTATAAAATGTTTCGAAAAAGACGTTCAGTAAAATTGGTCTCTACATGATCAGACCAGCGGTTAAAACTGCTTGAAATCAGATGCTGGTACTAATTTTAAGGGGAGCGACAAGCGACATTTACTAACAAGCGACAAATCGTAACCTGGCATTTGCAAGTAGTCTTTGCTCCGATTTTTTGTCGGTCACAAATTATTGCCTGTTACCAAATGTCACCTCCTAAGATATACAGTGTAGCGCATTTCTGAAATAATAGGCAGAACAGCCGTTTTTCTTCTGAAATGTTTGTTTGAAAAAGACAAGCTTACGTTTCAAATTGAGTGCAGATGACAATTTCAACAGAAAACAAGCAAAAAGAATCATAATTTCAAAGATCATACGGTAAGTTTTTAGCTACTACTCAAACTTTAGCACTTAAATTTTAAAATAAATTTGATACTTAAAAGTTTACATTTTTTCAAACTTATTCATTGGGCAGTCAGAACACTCCAAATTGTGATCTATTATACATTCGATCTCGTTATAATTTTTCTGGACATTAATTACATTATTATGTTCAATGCAGGGATTGAAAGAAATTTAAAAAAATTGAAGACAAGAAGGCCTACGCTTATCGCTTAGGGTCATTGACTTCGTAACAATTATGGGTTTTCTATTAGGCTAATCGAACCCATAAAGCTCAAACTGTTAAGATTGTTCCATGTTCCTAGATGATTTTTCCAGGTTGATTCAGATTTGAAGAAGTCGCGATATAAATCAATTTTTGACATTAATATGTGCCTGACATAATGTTGATGAGATAAAAAATTATGGATCTATTTGATTCTGATTCTACCTTGATCGGAACCAGATACATTCAAAATTTTTATGTCATCAACTTTATGTCAGGCTTATATTAATGTCGAAAATTTATAAATGTCGCAACTTCTCCAAATCTGAATCAGCTTGGAAAATTCATCTCAGAATAAGAAACAATCTTCACAGTTTGATGTTTATGGGTGCGATTAGCTTAATATAAAACCCAGGATCGGTACGAAGTCAATTTTTCTCTATTTTTCATTTCG